ACTGGCGTGCGGATCCCGCGTCGCCTGGATGACAACAGGAATGTCGACGGAGTCTTTTAGCCTGGCCACAAGCGTCACCGTGCCATCTTCCACATCAAGAGGGTATTTGGGAATGAGGAAGGTAATGCTTTTGCCTTGTACCTCGCCAACGCTCCTGCCAAAAAACTCACACGCAGGACGATTCATATCGGTGATGACCATATCGTTGTCGCCAATGACAACGATGTCGCGAAGCGACTTGAATATCATGTCAATCTTTGAGTGGTGGAGCATAGCAAAACCGTCTCAGTGAAGTGAGGACACAACAAAACGAACTAAGAGAGAAAAGTACTACTACTTTTGCCTGACAAATTGATGCTTTCACAATAAATTTAATAAATAGCAAATAAAAAATAAAAATAAAAAAAGGGGGCTTAACCTTCAGCGTTCTGAAGGGAACTCAAAGACGAGGAGGAGGCGGCAGCATTGCAAAGAGGCGCAGCCTCGTTTTCACTCAACATCACAGGCACAACACAACACGCATGCCTCTCCATCCGCATATACCAGTGGAACTATAAATACAAATAAATATATGTATATACATTTATATATACATGCACATACATATATATGTATAGCGTCCATAAACGGTGCGTGCCTAGAAACAAACAAACAAACATGGGTTGAAGTCAACATAAAGCGGCTGAAGAAGAAATTGAAAATCAATGAACAAAAGAAAAACGCATCACATGTACATTCATACAAAAAGATAAGACCTCACCTTTGCGTCTAGCTGGCTTCTTTTGTTCACCACCCTCAGCTACCTCATAATATAGAAAAGGAAAAAACATTTTTATCCCCCCCCCCTTTTTTTTTCCTTTACATCGAACAACGTAACAACAATACACTTTGATGATACGTGAACAAAAACGAAAAACCAAACATTCACTGATTCGAAAGGCAATGTTCGGCATGGGGAAGCTCCATTCTTGCTGTAACTCTACATACGAGCACGCCGCAGCATTAAGACACAAAATACGTCATAGTTCACCTTGTTTCCGGTACAGTAGCGAGAAATAAGTTGATTTACCCCGCTTTCCGTTGGGGCCAAACCATAATGTTCCATCGACAGGTAAGCCTTAATTAACTCGTCACGGTCAATGTAATTCTGGCTGTCTCCAGCGTACTTTCTGAACTCCGCCCGCAACTCATCCTCAAAGATGGCAGTATCAGCTGTGTCGTAGACGCTGTCAAAGTAACGTCTCGCATGTTGTTTCACTAGTACACTTGGCACCGTGGCATGTGCACCAAAAGAAAACAATTCAACTTGCTTTGAGCTTGGGAGGGTGACGATAAGACCCGTAGCCATATTGTCATTTGGTGACGTCTCATGTGTTGTATCCGCCTTGGGCGCTGGTGCGGGGTTCGCTGTCTCCACCTTTGCCTCATTTGGCTCTGGTACAGGCTCTAACTGAGAGTCCGAGGCATCACTCTCGTCACCTTCCACTTCATTTGTGGAGGCCTCTACCAACAAGGAGCTGGTTGAGCTGTGTCGAACAATGTTATCACGAACATACTGAAGAACGCGATCAGCCTGCTTTGAGTCCCCACGGAAGACGTTTCGAAGGGCATCCAGCACCTCTGGCTCTTGTACGCACCCATTGTTATTGGCATCTTTGCCCAACTCATGCAGCACCTGCGAAACAACAACAAGCTCATCATCGGTTAGGCTTACAGACTTTGTCGAGGAGGTTGAATCAGTGGAAAGGATCCGTGGTCCCTCGGCAAAACAGTGGATAAAGTTTTCCAAGGAAATCTTACCGCTGCTGTCGTTGTCGGCAGCTACCACAACGGCGCCAATGACGATGGAAAGGATTTCCTCATCCAACAGGGGGAAGACATCCCGAAATATGTTACTAAGCACACTGACCAGGTTGCCGGGGTTCACGCAGGCTGCGTTCGCATTACCGTCGTCAGGCACCACTAAAAGCTGCTCCAGCTCACCACTTTCAAGCATTTCCTGAAGTTTACCGCAGGCAACTTGCATCTTTTCCTGCGCCGCAGCAACAGAAATCTGGCTCAGAGTTATATTCCGGACAAAACCTTGCACAAAGTCTGTCAAAGTCAACATTCCCTTGTTTTTACGATTAGCAGTAACCATTATGAGGTCGCAAAGCTCACGAATCTGACTCTTATCCTGCGTACTGTCAAAAAGCGTTTCCCACAGCGCCTCGTATATGTCAGCCGCCTCCACGTAACCGTCATGGTCCCTGTCCAGCACGGCAAAAGCCTCGACGAGAACCTCAATTTCAGCAGGTGTGAGTTTCTGCACCAATTTGCGGGCCCCAGCATCCAAGAAAGCCGCTGGTAGGACACCCTGATCCTCTTGAAAAGAGCGAATAAACTCGGAGAGGCACAAACGACCATCACGATCGGTGTCTGCACTGGCCATAATAACAGCCACAATGTCATTAAAATTGTTGTCATGCAGGTCTGGAAAGCGGTACTTGAGGCTCTCCTTAAGCGCGATGGTGAGCTCCTCTTTATCAATAAATCCGTCGGCCTTTGTGTCAATACGGCGAAACGTCTCCTGCAGCGTCTCAATTTCTTCATCCGTAAGACGCACACGAATGGACGAAACGCAGCTACTGATGACTTCTGCAGGAACAACTCCCGGTCCATCCGCAAACGAAAGCAGAAACTCCGTGAGACTCAGTTTTTTGTCTTTGTCCTTGTCTGCAACCTCAAAGAGTGGCACCAGATACTCCTTCAGTGGGGAAAACCGTTCATCACCGACGCACCGGTGCACCATCTCGAGCAAATCCTCCTTGGTTACATGGCCGTCATTGTCGCGATCCATATAAATGAATGCGTCCCGTAGCATGTCCACCTCCTCTGGGCTCAGAAAGCAGATGATGGACTCCGCGTGCGGCTCGCTAGCAGCAGAAGTAATCGACATGTAGAGAACACTCAAATAGAAACTATTACGGAAAAAAAAATCAAAAAAAAAAACAAGCAACCAATCAAAAGTCTCAAAGAGAGAAAAAAAACACCACAGCAACGGATGCAGGTGAGTCAAGTGAGACGCTAACAGCCGCGTCTCCCAACAACAAAAATCAAAAAATAATAAATAATAGAAAAAATACTGAAAAGGAATGTGGCCAAAAATCCACATTCCATACATTAGTAGTAATCATCATAAAAAGAAAAAAAACTGAAGAAGCATAAAAATAAAATAAAAAATAAAAAATGAATAAATACAAGGATTTATTCTACTATAACTATTGCTATCACATAACAAGTCCTCACCTGCTCTTTCTTCTTCAGGCAGATGGCAGATATTCATCAATACGTAAAGAGCCCGTACGACGGAGGGAAAAAACAAAAACCTTTTAAGGTTCACATAATAATAATAGAATAAATGCACACGCACAATAACAATAGCTCCCTTAATGTAAAACTCTGGGACGCCACCGGACGATAGTAAATAGGTCTTTATTGTGTCGGCCTCACCCCCACTATCGGGAGCATTCCATCCGCATCAAAGTAACGCGCTGGATATGCAGTCACCCTTTTGTGGGCACCGGGATCTCCCAAACCCGCCTGTTTTCCTTTCTAGCGTAAGCCTCCAGAGACGCTCGTCGCGCGCGCGCTCTCGTTCAATCGCCTTCTCACGGTTAGCAAGCTCCTGCTGTATTCGGTACTTGACGCAACCGAATATACGTTGATCACGAAGTTGCCCACGTTGCTGCAGCATGGTCCCCCTGGTAATTTTATCCGTCGAGGCGACCCTTTGACGGGCGTTTTCACGTTCTTCCTCTCGATACTGTTTGGCCTGCACCTCCATCTCAGCAGCAAAACGATTACGCTGGGCCCGTTGAGAATTCGTAAGTAGATTCTCTGCTGTGCGTAGACGATGGAACGCCAATATGCTTCCACGCCGATCCGAGGCCTCGTCAATTTTATGGAGCACAGTCTTCAACCTATTCTCACGTGCTTGAAGCTCATCATTTTGAAGTAGTTTGGCTCGCTGCATCCTGTCCTCCATCGCTCGGTTTGCCCGTTGAATCTCCGTAAGTTTCATTTGTATGGCAAAGAACCTCGCCTCGCGTGCCGCTTCTCTCCTTTCATGTTGCTTTTTCTCCGCGATAGAACGTTTCTCTTCCAAAACCCGCTGAGCACGTAGACAAGCCTTTTCATTATACATCTCGGAAAAAGGATATAACTTCGATTGACCGAAGGACATATCTGCATGGTCTGCGCACATCTCAGCCCTTGCGCAAACGCACCTCAACTAGCAGTAAATCTAGTGGTTCCTTTGCACACCGTAAAAAGTCTCGATGTACACGATCGAGCAAAACTAATAATTTAAATATCAATCATAATGGCGACAGAATATGCCAACACATGAAAGGGAGGAATGAAAGCAATATATATATATATATATATATATGAGTTATCCGTAGAGAGAGGTTTAGAATGCCATTCAGTGCGGGAGGGGAGGAGGATAACATATATGTATATTATTGACACAGACAAGTAGGACGTAGAAAGGAGAAGCTTGACTCTAAAACAAAAAAAAAAAAACGATCGTCTCGGCGCCACACGGTGGTCGTAGTGGTGCTTCATCCACCTCTGCACCAGGTCAAGGTCCAGTTCGATGTGCTGTACCTCGTGGTCAATAAGTTCGGGGTCAAGTGGTGAGGGAAAGAGATGAATTAGGCAGCTGCCGTACCGATTTCCCCCATCAAACTGGTGGTCCACCACGTAATGCTTTGGTTTTGCTACCAACGCCAAAATCGCCAAACGTAATTTGATAAACTCAAACAAACAAGGCTCAAGGTGCGATAGGGGCTCCTTGGGGTCACTCGTGGCATTGGCCAAGCGACCACGTGCAATGCCGCGGT